GCCTCTCGTTGCCAGTCCATGTAATAACTTGCTGTATCTAACAAATTTAGGGTCGTCTGCAAAATCATCAACAATGATTAAAATTGAATGTAGTTTCTTCATCTTCTGTTCTTTCATATAATGAATTATCTTTCTTTGTGTGTTAATTATTTCTTCCAGTTCTTCAGGTTGGTAGGTGTCATAATATAACTTTTCTTTTTCGTCATCAACCTTCATATTATCTTTTTGATATTTCTTGACTTCAACGAAGGTAGGGTCATTATGAACCGACGGGCTAAAAATGAATATACGGGCGAAGCAGTCCCTATAAACATTTAGGATAAGGTTTTGAATTAAAACTGTTTTGCCACCCGTTGATGAAGCAACAACAATTGAGCGAAAAGGTAGTTTTGGTACATGTTCATATTTAGATTGTTTGAAATCGTAATCAGTTATATTTATTGGTTTTATTATTGGAACATCAGACATAATAAAATAATATTAAAGTTATTTAGAAAATATTTTATATTTATTATTTTATATGAATAGAAGTTATTCAGATTATATTGATATAATAGATAAAGTAGAAAATATAGAACAAGTAATAATAACCGATAATAAAATTAAGAAATGTTGTTATTATTCATTAGAATTAATTAAGTTAGGAATACAATATATTAAAAATATAAATATTAATATAGATGGGAAGAAAGAAAAAGAATAAGTCCGAGCCAGTTGTTTCTTCGACTGATGAAGAAAAAGAAGAAATTGTTAAAGAAACATCAGTTATTGAGTTTGCTTGTCCAATGTGTAAAAAAATCTTAGAAATGAAAAATGAATTAGAAATACAAAAGAAAGGAAACTGTAAATGTTCGTGTATTCCGTCAAGTTTCAAAATAAGTAAGAATGATAAGAAAATGAATATTGATAAAACTAAAGACAGTATAAATCTGGAAACGGATGTTCATAATATAACTTTTAAATGGGGTAAGGATGCATCACTTTCGGAAAATGGTGATATCGAAACTCAGGAAACTATACGTGAAATGATGAAAAAATAGTATTTAAAGAGTAGATTTAACATAATTGCAACATTTAGTTTTAAAAGTTTAGTTTTATAATTTAGTATATATGGAGGAACATTTAGCGAACATTGACAGTAGTTTAGAGTTGTTGTTTCCAAGATTAGAAAAAGTGTTGGAGCAAAATGAAAACATACTGAAAATCTTAAAGAGCTTGAATATTAAACCTACATATGATAACAATAACAATTATCAAGCAAAAGAAGTAGATAGAGACAGTAGCGAATACAAAAATAAACGAAACATTTATGTTAAAAAACTGAATGAAAAAATCATAAAAGAACCTAAACAATCAAGTCTGGATTACTATCAAGTCAAGTATAAAGAAGACACCAAGAAATACGTTTAATCATTAACTAACAAAATTTCGTGTCTCAAAAGCGGTTTGTTTATTTCTGCTACTTTGTAAGTTTTATTACCCATAATATCATATTCAATTTTATCGATATTGAATATTTTATTAGACCATTTAGAGTTATACTCCTTTCTGTCGGTGTAATTACCCCTTTTCTTTTGAAACACTTTTACCTTGTCGTTCTCCACTATTCTGGGATACTTTCTTTTGTTTTTTTCTCGTAGTTTAAGATTGACCTTTACATTTATTTCATTCTCGTCCTTGTGTGCTTCAGACGGTGTCATCCTTGTTGATGAGTGAGATGTGCTGTTATACTGTTTCAATGCCGGCGTTAGGGCGTCGGTCCATTTCATGTTGTTAAACCTAACTCTATCGTGAATTTTGTTTTTCATCGTTCTAATAAAACGCTCGGCCACATTTGCGTGGGTCTTCGTAACGATGTGGTTTATTCCTTCACTGTTGAAGAAATCCTGAACGTGATTTTTAGTTGCAAACGCTCCGTCGTCATCAGAATACACGGACATCGGATAACCCATCTTTTTAAAGCTTGCTCTCAACGCCTTCAAAACGTTCTCTCCGTCTCTTTCCTCCATCGGTATTACATCTGCTAATTTACTGAAGATGTCAATCACGACTAAAGCATACTGTGGAACGTTCTTGTCTTTTGCTAAAGGAGACATATGCATTATGTCTATTTGATATTCATATCGTGCGAATGGAGCGGTATAGGAATTAGTTCCTCTATAATTTTTGATTTGTTTATTTGGCTGTTTCTTTAAGAAAGACTTTACATCGTCTAATGTTATTGTTGGGTCTTCTTCCTTTGCCTTCTTGTGTGTCGCTTGTGTGCTTCCGAAACCCTCGTCTAAGTCGTAATAGATGTTGCTGATTATTTGGTCTTTTGTTAATCTCGCCATTATATTAAATTGTTAGAAAATATTTTTTCAATAAAAACCCCGCCCCTTAACATAAAATAAAAATCTACTTAAAGAAATATTAACTTATTATATTAAGTGAAAATATGACTGAAAATGTCGGAGTGATTGCTGACTTATCAAACTGGGTGCTATCAGACGAAGAAGATGATGATAATGACAGTTATAAAAAGGAATTAGATGACGAGTTAAACAAAATAAAGGATTTCGTCAAAAGACACCCTTTGCCATCAGTTGATGAAAACGAAGAATTCTGGAAAGATGTTATTAACAGGTTTAGGGATAATAGCGGATTAAACTTGATGACAATATACTCATTTGTTAGGTTTGACATCATGAAAGAAATGTATGAAAACCTAACAGATGAAAACATCATAAAAGACTGTGGTAAAAAGTTAAACCGAGATGGGCAGTTTAATGCTATGATTATTAATCACTATATCTTATCGGGAGCGATACGGAAACTAAACACAGAAGACAGTCTAGTAGATGGACAGATGCGAATTATTGAATTCTGGTGGGATGGAATAGGTGGATGGAAAGCGTGAGTGATTTAGTTTAATGATATTATTCAATTATAATATGATTAAACCTAGTTTTTATAATCTAACAATGAGGTTAAGACATTTAAATTAAACCTGAAACCCAGACCAGCCGACCAGCAACCCCCTAGCCAAAACTACTTAAAGAAATATTACCTTATATATTAAGAGAAAAATGAGTAAGGGTAAAATGTCAGAGAATAATTTTATGGTTGTGAATTGCGCTAGCTTACCTGAAGGCTTAGTTTCAATCATCACTACTTACATTAATGGTAGTGAAGGGTGGCAAAGACTAAAACAGTGTAAAGCATTAAGGGTCTTACAAAGGAAATGGAAACCGTCTATTTACACTGAACGAGTAGGAGAAAGTAGATATTATGTTGAGATTCGCAATAAATGCTTAAAAGGTGATAAAGCGCTTTCATATGCGTTGAAACCACCAAAAGAATTATTAAGAATGATGAAGTATGATGAAGAAATACAGGTTGGAATAGTAGTTAGTTCAAAAATTATGTATCATAATAATATTTGCAACTGTCGTTCTTATTCATCATCTAAACAGAATAAGATTTCAAGTAGAGCGTCATTACAATACCATATTGAACAAGCAGTTGAAGAAACCAAACAGACTATGAAACGACACGAAATCATTACTATCGAACATGTTGCAATTGAAATTTATAGAAAACAGAAACAATGATTTCATGGCTTAATCATAATATTTAATTATAATATGATTAAACAGTGTAAACTTTTATAACCTTTCATTATACTGTAATTTCAACCTATAAAACATAACTAGACAATCACATAAAAATCACATAAAAAGAAGTTGTTAAGATATATTAAGAAATGGTTGTGAAGCAAACTATAATGAATAATTATGGAATGACAGAAGAAAAAGCAACAGAAGACTATGGTGAATTCTTCAAATGCAACAGATGTCTTTATGATAAAACAATTGATGAATTTGGAAATGTAAAAAGTGGAAGAAGATATAAATATTGTCAAGAGTGTAGAACGAAAATACATAATTGTAGAGATAAACGTCAAAGAAAACAAACGACCCACCAACACCCCAGAACTTGATAACTACTAAAAGGGTCAACTCTTTCAAATGAAAAAAATGTTTGCCCCTAGCCCAACAATGAACAAGGCGAGAAATTACCCAAATGATTACCTTAACGAAAACGATAAATAAGCCCCCTAAAAACCCTCTTTTAAAAACGAATAAGGGGGAACATAGATTTGAGATGAACATAAAAACCATAACAGGCAACCATCAACAGACCACCCCCCAGGCCCCCTACTTTCTCCATTTTTTCCCCCACCCCCTCCCCCGCCCCTCTTCGTGCTTGCGCTGAGCAGGCTCCCAGCCCTGAACCCCAGGTTTGTCCTGTGGCGGATGCTGGTTGGAATTGGCTGAGTGCACCCAAGCCGTCCCACACACACACACACACACTGGGGAAGAGGGGAAATGCTTAGCAAAACCTCGGACAAGGGTGTTGATTACAAACTACACTTGTGTTTAGACATCGACAACGCACTGACCCCAAGCCTGACAGTCAATACCCCCTAAAACAGCAAACAGGGCTCCGAGTGAAAAATCGAAGGCCCACGCAGGCGGCAATGCAACACAACGCAACACACCAACTTGCAGCAAATGGCTGAAGACGTATCTCGGAGCCTGAAGTGACCGAGCACATGGCTGCGCAATAATCGTCCTCAATGGGCTCGTTCAAACCAAGGCAGTGTGGCACGATACCAGAATATATGTTCATAACAGCCATGTGGAAGACAGGTCCTACTTGTTTATCCTCGAGCAAAAAGCCATGCAGCAAGCTCAGATCAGTGAACGCAATCTTCTGTTCGCTGTGCTGCCACACCCCTCCAAACAACGCTCAATATTCAGAATCACAAGGGTCTAGTCACCATCTTCCACAATGATTGGACTCGTTATGTCAGGGCTCCCTATATCTACCCAGGGAATCTCACCTATGAGCCAGGTGTTAACAACCACCAATGGATAGGAATCAACCCCTGTCATGTTTCCACAGCTTTTCAACAACCGTCCCCCTCTCGCCCCGCGAGCCCGGAAAAATCGCGCCTTCGCCAGGTTCAAGAGCTCGTGAGCTTCCTGCAAGTCCATCCTCTTCTTCTCCTGTGGCGGGGAATGTTCTGCTGGGCAATCAACTACAGATGGGGTAGCATCACTCACTTGCCCAAAGGACCCAGAACTAAAAAGTTAACCTTTTGGGGTGACTAGACATGGACCAAAAGGGAAAACCAAAAGGTGATTTCAGGTCGATTCGAATTGAACAACGATCGATAAGTTGGACTCCAGCCATGGTCACCCTGGTAATGTTGACCCCATAGTAATCAAGACCAGTGTATAAATACGGGGATGCTTCTCCCTGGGTTTAGTCGGGAATCAGACCACTTTTGGAGGGGAACACCCCTATACTTATAAACTGGGGTTGACTAATATGGGGTCAGCATTAATCAATCAAAACAGTCGGACGTCAGAAGTCTGCGCATCGCTGGGCTTCAAGGGTTTGCCACCGCCCAGGCGGCTGTGACTTTTCCAGCCACGAGTTGCTCCAAAGATGTTGAGGGACCTCCATGACAATGTGACATGAATCTACAGGGTATCTGAAAAAACAACAACAACATCAACATCTGGGCAAATTCGCACGGAAAACAGTTGGCGGCGGCAGGTTCCCATCTCTTCCCATCTCTCCTCCTCTTCGGTCTCCCCATCCTTCCAGGGATGCCTTGGCCCATTGAGAGATGGGCGGGGGTTCATGTCCACCAGCTGCTTTTGCGGTGTTTCCTTATTAAGATTCGCAGCCAAAAAACGGATACCGTTGTTCTAGTCGTTAAAACAACAAAAACACGGGGGGGGGGGGCTTGTCAACATGACTGTAGTCTTCCGAAAGCCGTCTGTGAGCTTTCGTTGGAACAAGGGTAAGCTCTCTTCAGGCCAACACATTGATGGACAGGCACCAAGTGCTCCTGACCGAAGCGAAACAAGCAAAGGTACGCCTCAGCCGGCTCCAAATGCTCACACAGCCCCTTGCCCCAGTCGATCCTTTGGCCAAAAGGATTGGACTCGCAAATGTCGTCACTGGTGAGCGACGATCAAACTCATCGGCACATTCAAGGTTATCCACCATTGGCAACTGTGTGAAAATACGGGGACCCTAAATATGGGTGGTTTGCCTTTTGTTTGTTTAAGACATCCCAATGGTTTCCCCTGTGTTCTCTAACCATCCCAAAACAACTACCCGCAAAACAAGACACACACACACACCCATCCAAATACACCTCCATGATTGATGCTCACCACAAGATGACCCTGCATGAGGTCTTGCCACGCAGCTGCCCCCAGTCGATACATGCTTGCTCCCCATGGCAACCATAGTGATCAGAAAACAAGCATCCCTTTAGGCCCCCTTTGCCGTACCATGCAAAATGGGCTTTGACTTAAGTTAGCTGAGATTCGACAGGTTCAGGGAGCTGCAAGAGTGGGGGGGGGGGGGGCAACGGAAGGCGCAGGGCGTAATTCCAGGGCTCCCAATATGGGGATGGGTCTAAACCCCGCTTTTGAACGTTACCCTGAAACGGCGTTCTGTTCACTAGGTATTGAACCGGGGCACTTGTTCAATAGGTAAAAACAAGAAGTTCAACCAAGATTACCCAGGCCGCTTTAACCCTAACACACAGATCCCTGTCAATATGCCTCTGCCCTGTTGAACATCACCCACCAAGTTGGCAACCGGGAGATGTTTAAAACAACTTGGTTTATGAAGAAAATAAGACAGTTGAACCCTGCCTGCGTCAAACTCTCTTTGTTGAAGGTACCCGTTTTTGGTGCAGGGAAACCAAAAAGGCACACCGTTGCGCCATGTTGGGGCCGGTCCAACTCCAAGAAAGACGAGAGCCGTGGCAGCCACCCGCCTCCCATCGCCTATCGCCGTCGTGCGTCCAGGTTGCGAGAAGTCCGCGAGGTGACCGGGCTTGTCATTGTAGCAGGCCTATTTGGAGCCGGCTGGGCCCAGGCTGCACTTTCGTTTGCTTGTTGCTCCCCAAAGAAACAAACATATGTCCAGTAGAGATAAAGTCCCACCAACGAGGAAATAACACATATTCTTAAGCAAATGGAAGTGAAATGGCACATCATCTCCAGGTGTCACATGTTGCTTGTCAGAAAGTCCGAAACCAGTTGAGCAGAGAGGAACAAAGGGATCATATCATGTATATATATATATACAAAATATACATTCATATCACACAAAGCACTCTGGTGAAAAACGCATGACCCGTGACGGTTTGGGTAGGTTTCAATCCACATCTCAGAGAATCTACACGGCCCGTCTGCCGTCTGCGCCTTGCCGTACTTGCACACAGGCCGTCGGCTGGGGCTGCTGACGCTACCCCCACCAAGCTCCACCTGAGTCCGAGACACAGGAACAAGCTCCAGTTGGACAACTCGGTTGCTTTCTGCTCCCCTGCTAAAAGTTGAAAGCTCAGTGGTGTAATTAATGGAAAACCCACTAGTTGGCAAAAAGTTAAAGTTAAAGTCCTAACATCCAAGCAAAATGCACCAAAGACAATAGTTAGTCTTCAAATTGGTCTCTCACACTCGCCTAGCGCAAAGCACTCACTTGCATGCGCGCGCACGGACACACGCGTGCTCTTGTGGGCTACCTTGCACATGCTTATCATGCCATGCTCAGGCGGCCATCCCTCGGCTGCTCTGCTCTCTTTCTGGATGCCTGCTGCATGTAAAACGGGGAACCATCGATACCCCTTTGTGGGCCAACTCAACTTGTTGAATGCCCAAACAAGCTAAAGCCTGATCATGCGTGATACTCAGCAATTTATCGATAAAGTGTCACATGATCTGGCTAAAGCACCTGCTTTAGACACGTTAAAACATGCTGATGTTAAGTGTTGGATGAGTTTGGGATGTGAACAATACATTTCGCAAGGATATTATAGAATAATATAGTGGACAAAGCATATAAATTTACTGAAATAGCATGCATCAAACAAATGGTGATAGCATATACGGTATACATGGAAACCCTGCCGTGCCTTACTTGTTCGGTCATATAGACAAGATCCAAACTGCTCAACATATTGCTGCGTTTATTATATATACAATACACATTTTCAAAAAAAAAACAGAAACTGACTGAATCGCGCAATGTACATATTAGTATCAGGTCAAGCCGATCTGGAAATCTATACAGTATGTACACTATATAATTAAGATCATATCTATTGATTTGTGACATATTTCATACGTTGCTCCATTGTGAAATAGAAGTGACATTCAATTCGATACGCATTACATGGGTTCGATATGTTAGTATCATTGGTGATGGACTCAATTCAAACACCTACTTTACTTGTCTTGATTCATCTATATTAGCCCGAACTGGTGCTTGCACATCTAGAGACCGACGCAGATGTTTAGCAGAGTAGATTGGTAACACATTTGATCAACAACATTGCCCGACCTCGATAAATGGGTTGGTTGGCGCCTGTAATTAACCGGGCAAGCCTTGAACCTTCGACGATTAATCTTGCGCGAGCATCATGCCAAGATGGTTGAAGCTGTTTTGACGCGAAACGACAACCGGTTACCCATTTTGAGACACACTGAGGCAATCAAAAAGCTAAACAGCCACTAGGCCACTGCGTCGAGAAACATGTCACATGCCATAATTGAATTGTATTGCAATGGTTCAGTTAAACAAATCGGAATAGTGGACAGCATGTTTTGTTTAGGTGCCTGGTGACTGCTTTGAGGGGCCAAAATGATAGAACAGTTCGGGAAAAAAGGCAAGAGCTGACATCAACCTGAATACCAGCCAAACGGTGAGCCAAACACTTGGAAAAGCTAATCAAGTTTAGCAAGTCAAATTAAATTGCTCCCCAAGTAAACAGTTTTACAAACAAAGCGTGGCTGCGAATTGGAAAGCAAGTTGGGAGTCTCTCCAAAAGCAGCTTCAAAGGTGCAGTGAAGGCCAAGTAAGAAGTCAATCTGAAAGCAGCCCCAAAAGCAAAAGCATGTTTACGGACAAGGTCAAGGCCAAGTGGAAAGCAATCTTGATGTTGTGCAGTTTGGGTTTTCCGTTTCGCTTCCTTGACTGGGAGCTCGCACGGACCGTCTAAATCAGAAATCCAGCAGGCATTCTGCAGGCAGCGGAAATGACCAGATTGTAGCCGAGAGCGTTACCGCCACGAACCGCTTTTGTCCCACACCCGGTGGCTGAAGCCTTGGATCCGAAAGCTGAGCGCGAGGCTACAGGGTTGGGATCTCGCCCTTCATCCTGCATGGCACATGCCAACCTTTGGAACCCAATCAGATCAGCTGAAGGAGATGACGGAGGCTCAAGGGGCAGTCTTCGAAACCTTCCACCCTCAACGTTCAGAGCCTGGATTCGATCTTTCAATGCATTTCCCAACCCCCCCCCGGCCCCCCCCCAACACAATGCGACCTAGGCCCACACACTGGAATTTGGTCTCCGATTTTCCCTGGCAAACGAGACCTGGGGAAACACCTCTGAAACCCATCTGAGCCCAAAGACTCGGAAAACCAGCCCCAGGCCCTTGAGAATGGCCCCCAAAAATTGCAGAGGCAGCTGTTCTCCATGGTCCTGCCGCTCCGGAAAAAAAAGAAGAAGATGAACTCCCCAGATTCCCTTTAGACCCACCTGCAAGGAAAAACTCGATCCCAAGTTGGCAGCCCAAAGAGCAAAAAATCCCGCCATGTGCATGGAAGTTTCACGGAAAAGCGGGGGTCAAAAGAGATATGTCCACTAGTGGTAGATTCACTTTAAGACCTAAGAGGGAAAGCAAGGTCTTGTTAGGAAACCCAGTGGATCCCAGATACGCTTACAGGAAACCAGCGATGTTCCCTTTTGATTTGTTCCAGGCTGGTTTTCTTGGCTGCCTATTACACGAGATAAATGGATCCACTGAGAAATGAAGATCATGGGCTTTTGGGTGGGCAAGGGAAAATGCCTTCCCTGGATAAGCCCATAAGCCAAGGAAAAGCCCTTAAGGCCTCAAGGGGTTACTAAAAGATAGCCCCCTCCCCATAGCCCCTGTCGGGGGTCCATGAGAAGCGCCCTCGGGGGTCCATGAGAAGAAGCCCTCTTTTTCGTGGTAAACCCTCCGTTGTCTCCATGATCATCCCACGTAAGGACCTTTCGATCACCGGAGGATCGTCCTTCGCCACTCGAGGCACTGCCGGTGGTGCAGGCGTCGAAGGGGTGGGGTCCGCAGAGGCACTCCTGGGATAGGGTGTCCACAGAAAGGGGTACATGTGGGAAAAAACATGGGACAGGATCACAAAGAGGTCCTGTCCAAGAAGAAACACCACATTGGGGTCCAAAAGGTCCACAAAAAGATCCACGAAAAGCTCCATTGAGTATACTTACACATTGTTCTATGAAACCAAAGAAGAAGCCAAAGGGAATCCAGCCTTTAAAAGGAAATGGGCAGAACACCAGCCAGTACAGGAAACTGGTCAAAAGAAGCCGGAAGAAAACCAGGCAAAAATCAGCCCTTTCTTTTGGGTAACTCCATTCACGGGTCAGAGTGAGACTCCAGGTAGTCTCTAAGATGGTGTCCACTACCCCCAAACCACTAATCCCAGGCAAACTTGGGGTATATAACTCCCGTTATAGTGGCTAGTGTAATTTAGCCCCATTCAACTAGTGGGGGATGGTTTGGGGGTGAAAACCATCTTTCCAGGGTAGAGTTAAACCAAGGGGTGGTTCATTACCCCACTTGTAGTCCAAAAGTCGGACGTCAGATCCATTTTGGGGGTTGATCAGAAGGTCCTCTACATGGGATGACCGTGGGGGGAAACAAATCTTGTAGTCAAGACGTGGAACCAAAAAAAAACAAAAGAACCGCAAAAGAACCGCAACCACACAAAACTGAAACCAAACAAATCAGAAAACCAAAACGAAAAACAGAACACCCTCCCCCCCCAAAAAAAAAGAAACAAAAAAACACGCACACACACACACACAACACAAAACACAAAAAAGGAAAACACAAAGTGGCCAAAAGAACCGCAGAAACAAAAAAAGCATCTGTCGCCCGCCAAGTCCGAGGTGCCAGGGCCGCACCACCGGCGCCTTGGGCGCCAACGGCCCGCCGGCTCCACCGAGGCCGGATCCGCCGGAGCTCACATCCAGCGGCCTCTGGGCACCGCGGATGCGTACAGTTCTGCACACATGCCTAGCTAGGTATGTTGTATATATATATATATATACATATATATCTATATATATATATATGGTCACCCCCCCCCCCCAGGGCCTACCTTTCTACTTTTTGCATGAAAGAGATTTTCTTGCAGATGTTCAGTGTCCACTTGGTTTGCAGATGCCTTGCAGAAAGCACTGTAATTTACGGTGTTTTTGTGCAATTCTTGATATTGTCTCAGATGTGCTTTCTGTACTTGATGCAAAACAGGATTCGAGAAAGCAACAAACACGAAAACGGAAAGCGTTTTCAGATGCAACTTTGTCAGTTGTGAAATCACTGTTATTTGCAGTGTTTTTAAAGGAAACTGCAAAACAACACCTTTTTTTTAACGTTTTTTGATGGTTTCAGCCTCAAAACCTGCACAGGCTCAAAAAAATGCAAAAACAAAACCAAACCTGGAAGCTCCAAAACCTGCACAGGCTCAAACAAATGCAAAACATGCAAAACCCAGATGCAATGTTAGAGGTCAGGGCTTGGTTGGTCTGGATTTTGCATTTTTTGCATTTGTTTGAGCCTGTGCAGGTTTTGGAGCCTTGGGTGCTTAAAACCTGCACAGGCTCAAAAAATGCAAAAAATCCAAACCTGGAAGCTCCAAAACCTGCACAGGCTCAAAAGAATGCAAAAAATGCATATATATTTTTTGCATTTTTTGCATTTGTTTGAGCCTGTGCAGGTTTTGAAGCCTTCGGTGCTTAAAACCTGCACAGGCTCAAAAAAATGCAAAACATCCAAACCTGGAAGCTCCAAAACCTGCACAGGCTCAAAAAATGCAAAAAATGCAAAACCCAGATGCAAGTCAGAGGTCAGGGCTTGATTGGTCTGGATTTTTGCATTTTTTGCATTTTTTTGAGCCTGTGCAGTTTTGAGGCTTCCTGGTTTGGATTTTTTGCATTTTTTTGAGCCTGTGCAGGTTTTGGAGCCTTGGGTGCTTAAAACCTGCACAGGCTCAAAAAAATGCAAAAAATCCAAACCTGGAAGCTCCAAAACCTGCACAGGCTCAAAAAATGCAAAAAATGCAAAACCCAGATGCAAGTCAGAGGTCAGGGCTTGATTGGTCTGGATTTTTGCATTTTTTGCATTTTTTTGAGCCTGTGCAGGTTTTGAGGCTTCCTGGTTTGGATTTTTTGCATTTTTTTGAGCCTGTGCAGGTTTTGGAGCCTTGGGTGCTTAAAACCTGCACAGGCTCAAAAAAATGCAAAAAATCCAAACCTGGACGCTCCAAAACCTGCACAGGCTCAACAAAATGCAAAAAATGCAAAACCCAGATGCAAGTCAGAGGTCAGGGCTTGATTGGTCTGGATTTTTGCATTTTTTGCATTTGTTTGAGCCTGTGCAGGTTTTGGAGCCTTCGGTGCTTAAAACCTGCACAGGCTCAAAAAAATGCAAAAAATCCAAACCTGGAAGCTCCAAAACCTGCACAGGCTCAAAAAATGCAAAAAATGCAAAACCCAGATGCAAGTCAGAGGTCAGGGCTTGATTGGTCTGGATTTTTGCATTTTTTGCATTTTTTTGAGCCTGTGCAGGTTTTGAGGCTTCCTGGTTTGGATTTTTTGCATTTTTTTGAGCCTGTGCAGGTTTTGGAGCCTTGGGTGCTTAAAACCTGCACAGGCTCAAAAAAATGCAAAAAAATCCAAACCTGGAAGCTCCAAAACCTGCACAGGCTCAAAACAATGCAAAAAATGCAAAACCCAGATGCAAGTCAGAGGTCAGGGCTTGATTGGTCTGGATTTTTGCAGTTTTTGCATTTTTTTGAGCCTGTGGCCAGCTTTGATGCCATTGAGAAACCAAGCCATTGAGGTAATGAGTGCTCTACTGATAAATCAGATGCTTACAGGACAGCCTTTGATATAACAGTGCAGCAGTGATGACACACACACACACAATCATCAACCTTTTAGGACCACATGCCCAAACCACATCAAACAAGGCCCCAAATGAGTGTCCTTTTCTTCCCAAACAATAGTTTCCACTTGCTACGCAATAAGCCTACAGAAGGTTTATAATCTTTCAGAAAAGTTTATAAACCTTATTGAGTGTTTGACGAGTTTCCCGCATCAAGGCAACAACACCCTACGAAGTGTTCATGGTATCGTTGAAGGAGGGGGGGGGGTGGTTGGTTGGAAGTCTTAGCAGTGAGGTGTGACTCAGCCAACTTTGTAAAGACTTCTCAGTACCCCCCCCCCCCTCCCCCCCCTGCCCTTGTTGCAAGGAAACCGTCAAACCCTTGACATGGTTTATAAACTGTCTTGAAAGTTTATAAACTCTTTGCTGTTGTTACTCAACATGACTTGTCACCCACAAACAAATATGCAGCAACAGCACACTTCTTGCGTATATATGCTCACACCCCCTGTCCTTAAAATAAAAGGGTTTTGTACATTTTGAAGTGGAAAGGTAGGCCCTGGGGGGGGGGTGAGCATATATATATATGGTCACCCCGTATGTTGTATATATATATATATATATGGTCACCCCCTTTTTCCATGATCCACACCTAGAATGTGGTATGCAAAAAAGACTGTAAATATGTGCATATCAAATATGTTATTAATTTGCAATACACGTGCAAACATGGCTCATGTCATGCTTAGTGCTTCGACCCAGCCCGTTGGACTGTCCGTTGACAAAAAATAGCTCCAGTTCATGAAACAAGCCAACCAACCGCCCAGCGCTCGTACCCCTCTGCCCCGCAAAGGCTGGCCTTCCGGTACTGCCAGTAGTGCCCCTGCGGAGTGGCCCAGTTGCAAGCGACAGGGAGATACCAACTAGGCCCTCCAGTGGAGACTAAGTTGTTCAGTGACCCCGGGAAAAAAGGGAACCCTTTTTGGGGAAGACCATTTTTAGTGGGGCAGCCACCAAAAAAAAGGGAAAAAGGGTGCCACTGAACAACTGAGGAGAGGTTAGAATAAGGGTACCCGATTTTGTTTATGTAGTCTATTTTAGTAGGGGAACGGTCCCCAAAAAAAGGGGAGAGAAGGGCACTACTGGGGGACCTGGCCAAACACTTCTTGCCGCAAAGGGGCCAGTGAACGAAAACCCCATGACCTGCCGCGGCTGAATGCCCAAAACAACATTGCAACTATATGCACTTGACCACTTGACTATCACACAGATCTGAAAGTTTGTTCACAGCAACAAAAGACAATTGTTTCGCGAGTGTTCCCTTGTGGGGACAAATCTACTTTGGCGAGCAGGCGTAGGCTCAGCACTCCCGCCTTGACGCGTCGGTCTTACTTGACACCTCCGTCTTTCCGCCCCTCGCGCTGTCGGCTTTGACCGCGCCCTTCTCTGGGTGAGAAAAGCCTGCCACGACACGGACAAACGGAAACACCCAGCGGGCCAACAAGGCAGTGCGCTGAACCACTCAGGATGACAATTAGAAGACACATAACGATCAAGCATGACACCAAACAGCTCGCAGCGCAAAACACATATATATATATATGTATTTAAAACGCAGCCAAAGTTGATGTGATCTGGATTCGGCGCCATGGTAGTTGTTTTGAAGTGACAGCAACTAGAGAGTCACCTGCAGTCGCTTAGTTCGATTTCGAGTCATGACCCTGGCCATTGGCATTATCTGTGCTGGACTCGGCATTGCTGACAGCATCCCCCTCCCATGCGGCTTAAAAGTTTGACTGTAAGCCCTAGACATGGCCATGGGTCAAAAGCCCGTACCTCCAGTGAACATCCCAATCCCCACTAAAATAGACTAACATGGGTGGTGCACCTACCCCAAACTGGTACCATTGGTTTTGACCCACAGCCACATGGCTGTGGGTCAACAATGCCCAAAATGGGAGCCTGGTAAATGCAAACATGGACCAGTTGCTGCATGTTGACCCATACCCAGATACTCTGGATGAACGAAATCCTGCACAACCTAAGAAACCATGAGAAACCGCTGTTCGTTGGTATTTACAGGGAATCAGACCATTCCAGGGCTTCCTGGGTGGTGCGAAATGGATTTCGCGTCCATCCGCAGCATGAAACCTACCCATCCCCGCTGCGAATCCGAATGACTTCAGAAGCAGCCAGCTCCGCGTGCCAGGTGCTCTGCAGTACGGATGTGGCCTGCAAGCCGAAAAGAAGGCCCAAAGAAAGGGGAACCCTTGGATTGACCAAGGGCCCGCCCCAAAAATCTGGGGCTTGCTTCCGTTTCCCATTCTTTTCAACCAGCGTTCTGCTCAACAACCGATCGCTGTTTCCCCGTGGTTTGTGGGGGCTTTTTGAGAAACAAGGATCCCCGCCAAGAACGGCATTGGAAGGTACCCCTAGAAAAAAGTGGGCAAAAGGGGTGACCAGTTTCGGTGGGCAACCAAAACAAGGGAGAGGAAAAAACAGGGGTGCCTGTCAGCCCTGGATCCGGCCACGTGAAACATGTGCCTCTTATGGCAAATGTATCATGGATTGGGCTTGTCTCAGAAAATATCCAAAAAGGTTGGCTTCTTCTTGCTTTCCCTCTAAAACCAACAAAATAGGCTCCCCCCCAACAACAAATGTTGAAAAATGATGCTTTCCTTTCAAAACCAACAAAACAGGTTTCCCCGCCAAAACAAACACATATTGTTGCCAAGGCGCAGGACAGTCCGTAGCGGCACGGCGGCTTGGTTCTGGTGTCCGGTTGCGGATGCTTCCTGGCGCTCAGAACCCACGAGCTTTTCTTGGTGCGAGAGGTGGGGAATGACGAGTCCGAGTGTGAATGAACCGGAAGGGGATCCCTTCGAGGAAACCACAAGTTGGACATTTGTAAGGGTCATTCCCTCATCCCCTTCATCCCCTGAGCACCAGCAAGTTTGTTCGATGACCATCTCTGGGATGAGACTCCTGCGACGCACACAAATAGTCAGCAAGGGACCTAAAGGGATGAATACCTACAACTGCTGGGCAGCAAATGACATAATGGCAGCAAATGACATAATGCCATAATTACTCAACTGGCCCCGGATGTTTGGCCAAGCAAATCTGCAGCAAAGTTGACAAATAAAACGAGCAAGCAGCGGTAGCAGGCAAGAGCTGCGACTATAGATGGTTGGCACAAACTAAATGAAAGATTTCAACGCCCCAAATCCGAGCCGCTGATGCAGGAGCAAATACACTAACTGCACATCATTGCAATAATCTGTGGCTTGTGTCTCCAACAAAGCAGTCCTCGCTACCTGCATATCCAGAGGGCTACCATGATTACCATGTGGGTCGGTTGATTTCTTTCAGGTGGTAAAGGACCATGTGGGTCGGTTGATTTCTTTCAGGTGGTAAAGGGAAACCAAAAGGAAAACCACTGCTTTGGGGGGGGGTCCAAACCAAAAAAAGGCGCGCCGCCCATCTGCATCCCTGACCGCACGAGTTCTGGGCCACCCTGGCGCCAGCATCAGCAGCGCTTCATCCACGATGCTGCCAGTCGCCCCTGCCGAGGAAAACATGCACGGCGTACCGCAGTCTCTGTGTTCAACAACCCCCCCCCCCAAAAAAAAGGCGGTGTTTTTTCTAATCAAAACAAACAACAAAAAAACGTCCCCCCCCCCCCGGTCCCCTCCCCCCCCCCGCCAAAAAAAACCAAGCTGTGATTTGTTAAACAAACAAAAAGTGACGGCCAAACACAATTCGACACTTCGAAACCTGTCCACCGTTTGCCATTTTGATATTTTGAGGATGTCACTTTACTGGACCTGTGGCAAGTGCGAGCCTTCACCATAAGGCTCAGGCTTGAACTGCCTTCGCATCCGGGATCCACCGCTAGACTTGCCAGACAGGTCTTGTCCACAGCTTGCTCCTTTCAAAGCCCTGTACCACGGACTCCCAGGCCCAGTGCCTGTTTCGTCCGCTCTTTGGCGTGGCTTTGCCTTTAAAACAACATACCGACAAACAGGGCCCCTTTCGTTCCCATAGCTAGGTCCTCCAGTAGAGAGGTTAGAATAAGGCTACCTTTTCTTTCTGTAGTCTGTTTTAGTGGGGGAGCCCTCCTCCAAAAAAGAAATGGTAAACGGGCACTGGGAGACCTAGCGACTGAGGGTTCCTTGTTACATTGCCTCTTTGATTCATCAGAGGGTTAGCAGCTTGGAAGGACTGGGCACAGGCTCTCGTAAGGAAGCGGGATATCCGATTTCCGGTAACAGCTCAGCTGTCCTGTACCTTGAGCTGAGTTCTTTGCTGGAACTGAAACAGAACCTGCCTTTTCCTATGTTCGATCGGTCGTTTTCACGTGTCAACGGTCGTGCGCTCAACCTTTGGCAACACTCCAGCTTGGACCCAGGTTCGCTACTAACTATGTGCATTTCACTTGCGCCCTCTGTGTACTTTTTCTGATTAACCCACACACGCTGGAGTTGTGTCTGCTGCTTTAAACTTGGCGCGTGCCACATTGGGTAGAATAGCGCATGGTCGCCCACTGAAACCTTGCGATTCAAGTAAGCATGGGCAAAACAAGTCACCAAACTAATTGAAATGTGTCACCAATCGATCTAATCAAGCAAGTGCATAAGCAATCAACTCACTATCTCACTGGCTAGCCAACTAGTTCACCATGGAACCAAAGCTAGTGCGAGTAAGTATCTACGTACCAAAATCCCATAAAGCATAATCAAGCAACTAAGCCAAGGAAGGCGCACATCTCGCGCTGTTGGTCAATTCACGTTTTGACGGGACCCGTTTGGCAACGTCAGGACTTAGTTTACGTACTCCGTGGCTCAGCTGGGCTTGAGCCATGGATGGACAAAATCCAATTCGCACAACCTAAGAAACCATGGGAATGCATGGCTTGCCGGTATTTACAGGGGAACCATCATTCCAGGGATTCTTGGGTGGTGCAGGATTTCGTCCATCCACAGTATTACATCACACTCCATCACTGTCATTGCCTGGCTACATCATGACTTGGCCACTGGTGTTCATGGCTTTGTTGCGTAATTGGCTTTGGATATGCAGTCGGAATCAATCTGTCGCTACGTTCTCTCTAAGCGCGAGTGTGAGTGGTAGCGTTGTTTAGGTGTCTTATTTTGAGGGTGCTATGTTTGTGGTTTTAAAGAGAAACCTAAAGGACATACACCATTTTGGAGGTCCGAGAAAAAAAAAAAAAAAAAAAACATTTAAGTGGTCAGCTCCGGACAACGGTTGCTTCAAGTGTCCACACGCCTTGCTCCGAGTTCAACATTCCCTCAACAAATCGTTGCTAACACATAGGCGCAAGGCTACCTTCCTATAAACGGAGCACTGAGCTACAAAAGATCAACATTGCAGTGTTCGGGAGATTGCCGGAAAGCCGCCTATTTGGGTGTTTCCAAACATGGGATTAAACAAGGGCGTGTTTGTTTCTTGGTTTGCCTGCAATTAAACCCATTGAATGCTTTTTTTTTTAAAAAAAAAAAATCAAACACATGGCTGGTTGCCTTTGAGCTTTCCTCGAAAAAACAACCGGTTGCATTTGTTTTGGGACTAAAAGAAGACATGCCCCCCCCATTTCGTTTTAACACAAACACACACACACACAAATCTGGCTCTATCGGAGCGTGTCTTTCTTTCTGACCCCCTTGGTAATGGAGACCCACGAGGCAAACTGAACCACATCAAAAATGGGAAATCCGACAACGAAGACCCGGCCAGCGCCTCCGTGACAAAAGCGCGCAGCATGCACCACGTCGCTGAGGCCTCCGTTCAGAACGTTCGGAACACGGGGCCCGCGTAAAAGGCTCGGAGCATCCCCTTTCTGAGCTCGTCGTCACATGGCTGTGGGTCAAAACTAGGTACCCAAAATGGAACCCTGGTAAATGAGCATGGACTAAAACCTGCGGTCCCCTGGTGGTTTAATTTTGATCCATAACCACATAGGGATGCTCAGCCCCTCCTTAAAGGGAAGTTCCTGGTTATCAGCTGAGGGAACCATAATACGACCCAGCTTTGAATACCGAATGGAGCCGGTCAAGACGAAAGGACCTTGTGCCAAATGGGAAGTGACTGTAAAACAGCGATTTGTTGCATTCGTGAATGTGAAAATTTGCGGATTAGATAAAGTGAAACCCTGGCAAATGAAAACAAGGACTAGTGGTTCATTTTGACCCATCCATCCCCCCTTTTCCCCCACCCCCCACGTCCCTGAGGTTCGCTTCGTCCGAGCAGCGGGTGCAGGCATCGCCGCTGTCGCAGATGGGCCGAGGATCCTCAGGTAAACGCTGAGCGGCGTGTGGGTGGCTCGTCCTTTCTGTTGAAGGCATCCCATTTTTTGAAGTTCCGGTGGATGCCCTAAATATTGCAAGTCGGGAACCAAGGAAACCCTGCAAATTATCATCCCCGTGATTCAGTGATCAACTTGAGCATTAAACTCTTGGCAGCCAGAAATGCCTTGCTGTTCCTTGCTGGTGCGATAGGTAGGGAATGAGTGGGAATGAACCGCTTTGGGAATCCATCATTCCCTACTGAGTACCAGCAAGTTGTTGGTTGGAAACCAACCGGAAAACCGTTGCGCCGTCTTTGGGGTTCCAATCTTAAAAGAGACACCCATGGGTCACTACTTTGGGAACATGCGAACAAATGGTTTTCTGCTCTCAGGCCCCCTTCAAAGAAACTTGCAGTTCTTTATGGTTGAAAGCTGGCAAAGCGGGTACACACTCATGTGCGGTGAGTAAAAGAACCCCTTGGGTCGAAGACCTTTAGCGCCGCAAATTTGACGAAGGTCCGCAGAATCAACACCCCGCTGTGTCTTTCTGTTTCCTCTGGACAGAGGTTCCAAAGGCTCCCTTTGCGAGAGTCTGATCTCTGTTTCTTTTTTCCTTTTTTACCTAGGCTTATGTTCGTATCAGGCAGTGGTATTGGCTTGTTGTATGTCCTGCCAGACTTTGGATGGACGAAGTCCTGCACTACTTTGCAACCATGTGAAACCATTGTTTGTTGGTATTTACTACAATCAAAGTATCATTCCAGGGTTTCTTAAGTGGTGCAAGGATTTTGTCCATCCACAGCTGATCCACCGTATGTTTAACATTTAACACCTTTGCATCCCTTCGTTTTCAAGGCCACTCCAAAACATTCCACTCGGACATTGCAATCGGCCGGGATAGCATCGTTGAAACCTGCTCGTGAGAACGCCGAGCCAAACAACTGGAAGGGCTTCACACCAAACGTCGGCCAAGCTATGACCCATGCAGCGAATGCCGGCGAACTCCGCTAAGGGCAGTCAGGCAACCTCAAAGACAAGCAACGGCGATGTTTTTGGCCTCGAGGCCTTCTCCCTAGGAATTCCAAAGTGATTGAGGGCGGCTTTTTGGGGGATTTTCTTCGGGTCTCACTGGGTCCCTTCTGACCAGTCTTGTGGGGCAGTTTGGCAAAAGAAGATTCTACACATCATGGGAGGCTATACCCTTTCATTTTGTTCAAAATCAACAAGACAATAATGTAAAAACCAGAATCCCATATTCAATGCCAATAGGGCAATTTGTCAACGCCGGATTGAACAACCTGGCCAATGAATGGAAGGTCTTACCCCCAAAAGTGAAGGGTTCCCTCTGACACCCCGCTCACCATCGGCCAGAATTCCCCTTCAGAACTGACCACACTGCTGATGGACAAAATCTCGCACCAGTTGATAGGCGTATTTTTCGTCCTCGGATTCCACTTCATCCCTTTCGGAGGGCTTGGGTGCAAAGCCAAACCGTAAAATTTGTGGATCTTCGATCTCACCACAAAACCCGAGCAAAAAAAAAACAAAAACGGATCCTTTCAAAGGACTGAAAGGTCGTTGGCTCGTTTCAATCCCCTAGCTTTCGTCACGGCCGAGCCCAGCGAGCGGCCGGCGCGTGCATCCCGTCCTCCCCTCTGATGGCGCGCTGCGCGGCTCGGGAGAAGTCCTCCCGGCGCCCCGTGATGATGACCTGCCAGGGGAAGAGGGCGGCGCGGGGGAACGGGGGAAGGAATCCGAACACGCAGACACAGACAAAAAAAAAAGAAAACAGATGCGGGTGTCTCTTCGCCACCCATTGAAAGAAACCCCATTTCAGGGAACAGTGACCCAATGACCGTGGCTCGCATTTGGGGAGTTTAACCATGGCGTACATGTCCTATAGGTGCCTTTTGGGACACGAAAATCAAACGAGACCATCTGGTTTGGGGTTCTCTCCAAGCTCTCGTCCTGAAAACTGAGGTTCCAGGTTGAAGTCCTGAGGGAGCATCGAGAAAATGCGCAGTCAGCTCTGTGCTCTATCTCTCGCTCTCTCTCTCTCTCTCTCTCTCTCTCCCCACGTATTGGTTCCAACAAGCTTGGATAGATTCAATCAGCTAAGTGGGCAATGCGGGAACCCCCTGGCAAAGCAGGAAAGGGAGAACTCTTCAAGACTCAGGACTTGAAATTCCTGATTCTGATGCACCCAGCTTTGCCTGGTTACTTGGAATGCAAATGCAGCATGGCATTGGCAAGCGGGAAGCAAACGCCCCAAGTTAGTTGGTTGGTGGCTTGAAAAGGCAAAGCTAACATAGCAGCATAACATTGGTCAGGGAGAAAGGAAGGACACAACCTTTCGGGAAAGCACCTGAACAGTGTGAAGGCACCAGGAAATTCCTGCATATGGAGTGACGCCAGCCTCCTCTCAACTGAACAACCTACCCTGCACTGCACATTGCAATGTCTGACAATTCCACATGCCATCGCGAATCCAACATGCGGAAAGTGCTGACAATGTACAACAGAATGGGCAACACATCTGACTCGGTGCTCTGGATGTCAGTCTATTGCCTCTTGAAAAGCCAAGCATATCCTCTTTGTGAGTAGAACTCTTTCGCGTTTGGGCGTACTTGCATTGATGTGTTAACGTCCGCAGCCGAGTTGCACAAATGATGAGCACTACATTGCGTACATGGAGACATGAAAGTGTGACCATCGGAACGGGAGCAAGAACTGATGACGACGGTCTGACCTGCATGCACGGTGAAACACGTTTGATTGAATATGCTGACCTTCACTGCGGGAACGCTCATCCTCGTACCACAACATGCTAACACGTTTGGGATCTTTACCAAAAGTGGACCCACGAGGCAAAATCAAAAGGTTGAGCAAGTCGGGTTTGAAGTTTGAACAACTAAGCTTAATCACCCTGTGGCCCTTCTGTAGTCTTCAACGCCCTGTGCCTCTTTCACACCTGTCATGCTTGCAGCATGCCGCCGCAGCACGCTGCCCAGACCTGTGAGTTGCTCAGATGGTCCGACTAGGAAGGGTTTTGGGTGAAGAGGGGGGGAAGTAGCTCCAAGTACTTGGACCCTTAGCAATACTGTCACATACTAGTAACTAGCAACGTCAAGGTTAGCTAAACTACAGACCCTGCAAGGAAGCGTGTCCTGGCTAGCCGGGAAACCATCCAGCATTGATCGCGGGCTGCGAGACGGAAAGGGGGTACTCACTGACATGGAAGTGTCAAACAGCACCTCGTCCGCTGCTCATCTGATTTGAGTCTACTCAATAAGCAACATGAGCAAATCCGGGCAAGGACGGGCCCTTGACGTGGGGACAATTGCGTGTCTTTCAAGGGGACCCCCCAAAATGGCGGTTTTCCTTCTGATTTTCGTCTACCCTCAAACAAGACACACTCAAATACTGAACTGAGCCACCTTCAGCCCACACTTCTGCCGGGCCCTGGACACGCAGGCACTCCGTTGCAAACATTTGGCCATTTTGAACCGAAGAACAACTGTAGCGTAGCTATCCCAAAAGATAAAACATGTGATGGGAGCCGCAAAGTCTTTTCCCAGCTATTGACTCAACCGCAAAGCAGTGAGCGGAACTCAGATCTCTACTGGCAAGTCCTATAGGTGGCGCCCGTCCTGCAAGCCCCACGGCCCCCCTTTCCCACATGAGTAAAATGTCGGAAGTGTGTTACCAATGAACCTGCATGTACCAACATTTATTTACGTTTAACATTTAAATCGGTCCACGTGTTTCCCCGCATGAATGTGTGCCAAAAAATTGTCGACCCTCGAAATTGGTGGTGTTTTGTTTGTTTCCAACTGAAGGGTTTGGTTCAAAATAGGGATCCCCACAAACAGACTGCGCCATTTATTTTTGATTTTCCGTTAAACTAACCTTTGAAAGGGAATCCCCTCAAAACGTTGTGCCTTTGTCTTACCTTTAAAAAAAAAGAACAACCCCCTCCAAAGAATCACAGATACTCAGAAACCCACCGGGTGCCTTTAAAGGGCCCCCTCCAAAAAGCCACAGAAACCCACAAAACCCCACACCTGGTGTGGGCGGTGAGCCGCGGGTCGATTCCTGGGGTGCCGGGCATCCGCCGATGATGAGGGGATCGTTGCCGAAGACGCCGCAGCCCACGTCCGGCACGACGATGACCTCGGCCTTGAGAACCTGCCGGGAGTTCGGAGTTCGGCTTGCCTGCGTGGATTTTTTTTTTTTTATGAGGGAGGGGGGTGCTTCAAGGGGGCGGGGAGGTTCCCTTGTCATGTTCTACGTTCCCCATTCTCTTGGATCCTTCTCTTCAGGAAATGGGCCAAACCCCGGCGCAAAAAATTGGTGGTCTCTGAAGAGAACGATGGGTGAATGGGAAATCAACCCTTAGACCCTACGGTAGGGGACCCTGGGGGAATCCAAAGGAACCCTAAAGATTCCATACTTTCAGCTTCCCTCTGAATGGTTTGGAGCCGGGTGGTGGTGAAATGAGGCGGCAAGCCCCGTTTGCCCTCAAAAGCCAGGGGTTCAAATCCCCAAACCACCAATCCAAACCAACTAGGGTTTCCTGACTTTCTGAGGCTCGGTACTTTTCTTATTACTGTGGGGTTTAAAGGAAAACCAAACAAGTCACCGTTGCGCCATTTGTTGGGGACCCAAAAAAGACACACCCAAATGGCACCAGGTCGTTCTGGGGCCCACCGTTTTAAGCCAAGTGTTTCACCCTGCAGCAAACGTGCCGGCAAGGGGCACTCTCAAACTGAAAAGCTCAACATCCTGAAATCTGGGGCCGGATTTCCCGAAGGATGTCAGGAGCGCCTTTCTGGGTCTGCCTCAAATGGGAACCCTTGATATGGGTCTCTCAAAAAAAATGGCGGGAAATCCCAAGCGTGAACCTTGCGGGGCAAGGCTCTATATGTGAAACAGCGCAGTGATTGCAAGTTCCCCACTACCCTCAGACTAAAAATGGAGACCAACATACCCGTGCTTGCCTTTTCAGACAAGCTGGACATCTGCTAGACATGGGTGACTTGCACAGAAGAGAGAAGTGAGCAATGCTCAGCACACCTCACAATGCTCCATCCTTACAGAACATGTGCCTGTGTGTGCGTGTGGAACTGTAAGTTCACGCCACGTGCCCTTAACAATGGACACGTAACCCTCGAATCTGCGAACATTTGTTTAGAAGTTCCGCTTCGGTGTAGGAATGATCTGGCCAAGAACCATCACAGCAGAACCTTCATACCCCTTCCCTTTCACAAGCTGCGGGTGACTTCCGGAACTGTTTTCCACTGGCACCCTCGAAGTCAAACCTCCGATGGGTTGTGCCGATTGTTTGTGGCTTGTTTTGAGGCTCGCTACCCTTTTCAGCCTATACGGGAAACCCTTAAAAAAGCCGGTGTGCGAGTTTGCTCACTGCCTGAGTGGATTGGCCACAAAGGTCTCTGGACTTTTTATATACCAAACCGAACCGGCCCAAACCCAAAAAGCAAGAAAAGTCCGAAACGGAACTGAGGAAGTGACTTGGCCATGGTTCAAAACCGTTTTGGGATCCCATTTTGGGGTAGGTGAATTCACCACCCATTGTAGAACCTATGTTAGTGGTTGGATTGAATCGGATGTTCACTGGGGGCAAACCGATTTGGGTTTTGACCCATGGCCACTTGGGGTTTCAACCCCCCTTTTATGGGTCAACCGATAGAACTCCGCATCGCCTGGACTGCCGCCATGATGGCTGCCTGCGTCGCTCGAGCACCAACGTTTGGGGGGCAAATCGGTGTCGTCTTTTTGGAGGTGGGACCCCCCAAAATCCTGGGCTTTCCCTTTGGCTTTCCTTTAAAACCAACAAAAAGGGATAAATATAAGGGGGTCGCCCAAAAACTGGCAGAAATGAAAGGCCAGTCCTCTTTTGGTGTCCTTTTGGGAAACTAAACATGTTCTTGGCAACTTTACCCCCAGTTTGGGGTTGCGGCTAGGCAAGCAATGGGAACATGCAGAATGCAAAGCCTCCCAGCAGTCAACTTGATTTGGCCTGTAAGTGTTCAGCTCACTTCCTGCCTGGACTGGTCGAAAGCAGTCCAACCGTTTTGCTTGCCATGAAGATGGTCTCCCCAAAAAGTTCAAAGTCCAGAAACTCGGGAAGTCAGTCAACATGTTCAAGCAATGATGCGTTCATGTGTCGGCCCATGAATTTCAAGCGTCCCTTTCCGGCACTTTCTGTGGCATGCTGTACAGCATCGAGCATGGACCATAGCGCTAGCCCTCCTCGCATGGGTTTGAGCGTGCCAAAAATGCCAAACACCGGAGTAAGGCTCTGCTACAAAACATACTGTGGATGAAACCATGGGAAACCATATAGTTTGTTGGTATTTGCAGGGGAATCATCAGAAACCAGGGTTTCTTAGGTGGTGCGAAATAGATTTCGCAACCATCCACAGTATGTTACTATGCGCTTCACTGCCAGGGCAAAGGTCGTGTCTGCATGAGTAATGCATCCGGCCGTGCCAACTCCCGGCCGTGTTGCAACAGCACCCCATGACTGACCTGTGTTCAAGCCATGGGAGAGAACCGACCCGTGACAGGCAGTTCATGATCACGTTTTAGGCACTACTTTTCCAGAGAGAGTAGTGAACCTAGAGCAGAAATCCGGGGGGAGAAAAACATAAAATAAAAATAAATAAATTAACAAAAAAAAACATGTATCAGGAATACAGTCAGGGGGGGTGGGGGGAAAAAACGTTTTAGGAATACAGTCATCTGCATTCCGTTCCCATTATCCCAGCTCAAGCGGTGCTTCTGGACTTCTGGATCCCTTTTCACTGCAGCTAATGCAGCCGGAAAAAACTGGAGGTGGGGTACGGTCAAACCCACTTTAACCATGACGAAAAGCGTAAACTGTCTATCTAATAGTACTTATCTCGGTTGCTTTCTGCTCCCCTGCTAAAAGTTTAAGTTTTAGTGGCTTAATGGAAAACCCATTAGATGGCAAAAAGTTAAAGTCCTAACATCCAGGCAAATTGCACCAAAGTTATGTCATAACCAGAGGCTGTGGAGTTGTTTAAACCAACTTTAGCCATGTTTAGAAGACTAAGCTGTGGATGGACCAAAAGTCATGCACCAGTAGGTGGTGTATTCCCCTTATTTACAGAATTTCATCCATGCGAAGCGGTGCGGGGCATTCGTCCACCGTTTCGCCCGCCCGTTTCCGTCACCCCAGCCGCCCGTTTCGCCCACGGCGGGAGCGTGGCGCCTCCAGTTTGGTCCTGGTCTGGTGCAGGTATTCCGCCGGCTCCGCAGGGCTGTCCAGGGGGCTGTCCCGGACCCGGGGGTTGCGGTTGAACCTCGGCTCGCTCGCGTATCGCCGCGGGCGAAGCAGCCCTGCGGGCCGTGCAGGCGGTACCCTTGGACATGTTTTCCGACAGGCAGGGAATGAGTTGGATGGAATGAACTCTATGAAGAAAAACAACTCCCCGATTTGTTGTTTTTTTGTTCCGAGGCCGAATTTTGAGAGAAACGCATGGTCTAAAAGGGTAAAATCGGAAGCATCATGGGGTAAAACCGGAAGGCTCCCAAGGGCTGAAGTTGGTTTCCTCCGTTTCCCTTTCCAAAGTTGCGATCGTTTCCAAGGAAAAGTTGATCAACAGAAGGGGAAATTCGGTGACCCCCGAGGCATGCAGCCACTGTTTGGAAGAGTTTGCACCATTGGCACAAGTATTGAAATAACTTTGTCCGCAGGTAAACCAGGTCGAGCGCCACTAAGTACCCACAGCTGCCACCAATCCTATGAAGAACACACTGGCATACACACGAAACAGAGCCAACTGCCTGCCTTGAGACGCTGCTGGCACAAATGGGCCGTTTAAAAACTGAAGAGTCTTCTAGCAGTCTCCCTTGAATTACTATCATGGGAGTCCTGCCAAATCTTCATGCTTGAATGCGCCCATATGGGTCTGTGTGTGTGTTGTGGGTGTGTGTGTGTGTGGTGTGTGTGTTGTGCTGTGCTGTGTTGTGTTGTGTTGTGGTGCGGTGCGGTGCGGTGTGGTGTGGTTTGGTTTGGTGTGTTGTGTTGTGTTTTGTTTTGTTGTGTTGTGTTGTGTTGTGTTGCGTTGTGGTGCGGTGTGGTGTGGTGTGGTGTGGTTTAGTTTGGTGTGTTGTGTTGTGTTGTGTTTTGTTTTGTTGTGTTGTGTTGCGTTGTGTTGTGTTGTGTTGTGGTGCGGTGTGGTGTGGTGTGGTTTGGTTTGGTGTGTTGTGTTGTGTTGTGTTGTGTTGTGTTTTGTTGTGTTGTGTTGTGTTGTGTTGCGTTGTGGTGCGGTGTGGTGTGGTGTGGTGTGGTTTGGTTTGGTGTGTTGTGTTGTGTTGTGTTGTGTTTTGTTTTGTTGTGTTGTGTTGTGTTGTGTTGTGTTGCGTTGTGTTGTGTTGTGGTGTGGTGCGGTGTGGTGTGGTTTGGTTTGGTGTGTTGTGTTGTGTTGTGTTTTGTTTTGTTGTGTTGTGGTGTGGTGTGGTGTGGGTGTGGGTGTGGGTGTGTGTGTTTGAAGATACCCGTGCTGTTAGTGTTTTAATTAAAGCAAAACCAAATAAGAAACACATCATTTTGGGAGGCCCCCCTAAAAAAGACACGCCCATATAATCATTGCAAACATGCCAGCTAGTTTCGATGAATCTGAAGCTTCATTCACGCGCGCCTCTCAGCCCCCCGGCATCGCAACTGACACAACCCCTGGCAACTCCGTGGCCGTGTCCAGGAAGCCGTAGCCATCGTCTCAGCGGCAACCCGGGAATGTCGGCGTCATATTTTTCGAGAGATATGGGTGCCGGTCAAAATTCAACAACCAAGCGACCGCAGGTTTTATTCCTGGGTTCCATTTGCCAGGGTTCCATTTTGAGCACCCGTTTTTGACCCGCGGCTATATCGGCGTGCCTCCAAGAAGGAATCCCACAGATCGATATGGGTCTTCTCACTTTTCGGGTCTACAAAACAACCCTGCTCCAGGCAGGAGATTGTTTGCGAGGCGCATATGTCACCTACCCTGCAACCAGCCTGTTGGGTGGGGACGACCCAGAAAGCTGTCACCTTGTCGAATTGTCGGTTTGTCGATGCCAGACAGCTTCGGAATGTTTCGGACCAAATCGGGGCAGGGTGCTGCAGCAGACTCGCAGCCAGCGTCGCGGTTCTTGCTAACATTCAAATTTGTCAACCACTGAATAGCTTAGTGGTGAAACTCCCATGCACTGAATCGTCACTGAACGACTGAATCTGGCCAACAATGTTCAACATCCATGCAAGGACTACACACTTTCGCGCGCCGAGCAGTGTGCGCTCGCGGATGAGACATCTCTGGCCAAATTGAGTTCCTTCAAGCTGAGTGAATGCGAGGCCTCTTGGGGCCGTCTCACACAGGCAGCACTATATGGCCATGGGTCAAAACCCGGTACCCTTCGTGAACATCCTAACCCCCACCAAAATAGACTAAAATTGGTGGAGCACCTACCCCAAAATGGGATCCCATTGCTTTTACCCACGGCCATATGGATCTGTCAAAAAGAGCAAAAAAAAACA